GGACGTCGACAAGGAGATGGAAAATGATTACGCGTGAAGAATAACGAATTCTAACACAACGGAATTTATTGTTTGTTCACTCTTACATTGATTACAAAACTAAAGTTTAGACTCGCAGGAGCGGAATAGTAGTGCTTAATGCACGAGATCGACTCGAATAATCGCTGATGATCCGTCTTACAGACTGTCGCAAAGCGATCTGAATCTTCGAGCATCCCCGTCGTCAGACCACGGGAGCGCGCGTCGAAGATTCACGTGATTAACACGAGAAAGCGGATTCAAATAAATACGATCACGCGGCTGTCACAGGACAGGGCCGTGGTTCAAACGTGCTTCATTCAACCAAATATAACATCTCGCAAAAATGAACACCGCATCTCTAGGTTCGCGATCTCAAGCTCCGATTCCCGTCCTTCTCGCTACCGCTCGGGTCCGACTTCACACGGTTGAAGGACGAACTGAAAAGGCCCGCGCTTTCTTCGATCAAGGCTCGACATAGTTTCATTTCTGAAGCTCTCGCTCAGAGATTACGTCCGACGCGACGTCGCGCGAATTTACACATTACCGGCTTCGGGGAAGAATACTCTGGCATCGCGCGAGCACAAACGAGTCTTCTATTCGAATCGTGTCTCCGTCCTGACCACGACTGCCGATTTCAATGTATATTTATCAAAGGATTACGGCTTTCGCAGCTACTCAAGCGTTTTCCGTCGACGCTTGGCCTCACTTGAAAGGCTTAAAACTCGCGGATTTCGATCCGTCAAGTAAAGAAACTATTGAAGTATTAATCGGAGCCGATCTCTATGGTTCATTGCTACTCGGACCAATCCAAAGGAAGCCTCTCGGTTTCCTTACGGCGTAGTTAACGTCCTTAAGCTGGATTGTTTCAGGCCCGGCAAAGCCATTGGATGTAGTATCGCTTCAGGAAGCAACGGTTATGTCTTGTGTGGCCGCTCCATGTCTAGACGAGCTCATTCAAAAATTTTGGGAAACGGAGGAGATTCCCTCTAAAATCATTTACTCTTCAGAAGAGGAGCTATGTGAAACGCATTTTCGTCAAACCCATTCGCGGAATGCGGATGGCCGTTATATGATTCGATTGCCATTCCGAAATAATCAGCCTCCCGTTCTGGGCGATAGTTATAATCTCGCTCAGCGGTTGTATTCCCAAACGGAACGACGATTACTTTGCAATAGCAACCTTGCTGCGGAATACAATAAATTCCTCGCTGAATACGAAGTTTTAGGGCACATGGAGCAGGTTCGCGATTCCACCGCGCACTGTCGGCCTGTTTATCTTTCTCACCATCCCGTGATCTGGGAGAGCAGCTCGACAACCAAAGTACGCGTTGTATTTAACGCTTCGAGTGTCACGTCCAACGGCTCTACTCTGAATGATTGCTTATTAGTTGGGCCTAAGCTTCAAAACGATCTTGGCGGAGTTTTGCTGAGCTGGCGCTCGTATCGTTACGTCTATCTGGCGGACATTGAAAAATGTTCCGTCAGATTCTGGTGCATCCCGACGATGTGAATTACCAATCGTCTGGAGACCGAATCCGCAAAGTCCGGTCCTATCGTACCGTCTCCTCACGGTTACATACGGCACGGCCAGCGCACCGTATCTCGCGATTCGTGTTCGACATCAGCTTGCCGACGATGAGTCTCGTCGCTTTCCGCAAGCTGTGAAGATTCTTAAAAATTCGGCCTACGTGGACGATCTCTTATTTGGTGTCAATGACATCGCGTCCACTATACAATTGCGCGCTCAACTTAACGATTTGATGCATTCCAACGGATTTCACTTGAGAAAATGGGCGGCCAACGATCCCCAACTCTTGTCGATTAATCCATCCGGCGATCACGAGTTATCATGCGATCACGCATTCGAAGAGAATACAAGTCTCAAAGTCTTTGGCGTCGCTTGGCGTCCGACCAACGATGTATTCTTTTTTCGAATCGCAGAATTCACGGAATCGCGAACCACGAAGCGAACCATCCTATCATTTATCGCGCGGCTATTCGACCCTTTAGGTTGGGCGTCGCCCGTCGTAATTGTAGCAACAATACTAATGCAGGATCTGTGGCTTCAAAAAATCGATTGGGATGAGACTATTCCCGAGTCACTTCTGCAAAGATGGCAAGATTACGTTAATAGTCTTTCTAAGCTTTCTAATTGCCATATGCCACGTTGGCTTAATACCTACGATCTCGCGATGGAGATTCATGGATTCGCCGACGCGTCACAGCGTGCCTACGCCGCTGTCGTCTATTTACGGGTTTGCCACTCGCCTAATCGAATTTTGGTTTCGCTGCTCGCTGCCAAATCACAAGTGGCGCCCTTAAAAACGATTTCCCCGCCTGGAACTCATGGCTATCGTACTCCTAGCACGTTTAATAAATTACGTTTTGGGCGTGCTTGAAAGTCCGAATATACCGATTTACGGCTGGACTGATTCCACCATCGCACTAGCGTGGGTCAGTCAACACCCCTCCAAATGGCGAACGTTCGTCGCTACGCGAATCTCCGAGATTCAGACTAAATTACCGACGGCGAAGTGGCATCACGTGCCGACAGTCAGCAACCCCGCGGATTGTGCTTCGCGCGGTATCTCGGTAGAAGAGTTTCGCGTCCACCCGCTGTGGTGGTCAGGCCCGGCCTGGTTAAAAGATCCTCCCGTCTCTTGGCCAGAGAGAAAAAAATTGCAGGACGAATTATCGGACGAAACAGAGTCAAACGTGAATGCTGAAGTTCGCGTCGCTACCGTTGATAATTCAAAGTCCGCTCCCGCGACGGATATCTTCAATATCCACGAAAATTTTACTTTGTGGGGAAAATTGCTTCGCGTCACAGGTCACGTGTTCCGTCTCTTTAGAATACATAAAACCAGTAACAAAGCGAGCAAAATGGCGGCCGGGGTATTGACGAGCCTTGATGTCAAGAGAGCGCGGATCTTCTGGATCCAACAATTACAAGCCCTAAGCTTTAATGCCGAATTCATCGCGTTGCGTGCGAATTCCCCGCTAAGTAAATCGAGCCCTCTGCGTTCGCTAACGCCGTTTCTCGACAAAAACGGCATTATTCGGTTTGGCGGGAGGCTCCGCCACTCCTTACTCTCATATGATGAGAGATTTCCGGTGATCCTTCCGCGTCACCGCCTTACAGAATTAATTATTGATCAAGCTCACTTGCGATCCTCGCACGGAGGTCCGCAACTTACTCTACGCGTGTTACGCCAAAATTTCTGGATTCTTGGTGCGAGATCTCTTGTTAAATTTCGAATAAGAAAATGTATGGCATGCATACGCGAGAGCGCGAGGACCGCAAGTCAGCTCATGGGCGATCTAACGTCACCACGAGTGACGCCATCGCCTACTTTCTCCCGCTGCGGAATAGATTATGCCGGCCCCTTACAAATCATACCGTATGTCGGTCGCGGTCAGAACTCGCGAAAATATTATGTCTGCATTTTCATATGTCTCGCAACTACTGCGATTCATTTAGAGTATGTCTCAGATTACTCATCGGAGGGCTTTCTTGCGGCCTTTCGACGATTTGTCAGTCGACGCGGGCTACCAACCGATGTTTATAGCGACAATGGTACGAATTTTGTAGGGGCCGACCGAGAGTTGCGACTCGCATTTATAAGAACATGTAAGGATCGTGCCGTCCACGATCACCTTGTCACTGACGGTGTACAGTGGCACTTTATATCCGCGGCGTCCCCACATTTCAGGGGACTCTGGGAGGCGGGAGTAAAGAGCTTTAAACATCATTTAAAGCGTGTTATCGGAGGTCGTACTTTGTCGCAGTTGGAATTCGCGACTCTTTTGTGCCAAATCGAAGCCTACCTTAACTCCCGTCCTCTTGCCGCATTGACAAGCGATCCGGACTCCTTCGAAGCGCTCACACCGGGGTACTTCCTAATAGGTCGCCCCCTTTTGAGTGCACCGGGAGAGTCTGTCTTAGAAATTAATGAGAATCGTTTGTCGAGATGGCAAAGGGTGCAGGCCATGCACGAACATTTTTGGAAAGCGTGGTCTTCTGACTATTTGCATACGCTTCATCAGAGGCAGAAATGGCAAACGGTACAACCACCGATTAAAGTTAACGACCTCGTGATAATAAAGAACCCCCTGCTTCCCCCCGCTAAATGGAACATGGCCAGAGTCATTGAGATACACCCTGGCCCAGATGGTCACACGCGTGTCGTGACTGTTCGCACCGCGTCCTCAACGCTTAAGCGTCCTATTACTAAAATTTGTCCACTTATTAGAAAAGACGAGTAACTTTCTCTTACTCATTGTAAAGATCTGTCAAAAATTCCGTCTGCTATTGTTCTATTAAAATTTTCACCGTCCTAGAGTTTGTTTGTCAGCCCGTTTTGTCGTCCGTACGAGGCGAGCAGTATGTTCAGAATTCAAATTGGATTTTTCGGCATGTAGGCTAATTGTGTTTGGCCATGAATTGTTTGTTCGACATCCGTTCAAGAATCACGTTATGACTTCGGTATTGATACCGACTATACGCGTGATCACCCGATCCTGTACGCGTGATATAAGAATGCAGAGATTCCGGCGTTTTTTCGTGCTTGACTCTCGCCGAGCGCAGGCAGTCAGTTATTATTCGACTAGCGATCAGTACACAGCGATTCCCGCGTTATCGTTCAGCATTGACGAAACGTTTGCTATCGTCGCATATAGTCGTGTATTATCAATGTTGTTGAAATTTCATTAAAGACTTTTGATTGAATTGTTATTCGGAACAGTTTTGTGTTCTTTTCTCCTACACATCTACTTTCAGCGCGGACTCTCCAAGACAGTGGCCGTAACCGGATATAAAATATATTTATAAAAGTTTGATTCGCAGCACGTTAAGTCGAAGGGCGTGTACATTCTTCTTTATTTTGTTGTACCGTTAAAGATTTTAATTATTTTTTTCTAATTTTGTGTTCTCAGCATATAGATTCATATTTTAAAACAATCTATATTAATATTTATTTGTATGCTAAAAGTTTGTATTGATATTAATAATAACTTGTCACAATTATACGTTACTAATTGTTCTCAACGAGACTCATTCAATTGTACGACACTACAGTCTTTCAAAATAAATTGTGATATAAATTATAACTCAACGAAACATTTTTTTGATTTTTTAAGGAATCCCTGTCTTTCTGTCATCCGGCTGAGTTTATCCGTTTATAAAATCACTTCTAGTTTTATAACAAATATCATATTTATATTATCAAGAGACACGGTAGTGTCTTACACCCAGTTATCGGCATCGCCGAACGAAGTACACCGTGTATCTTAACGCGAGTCAGACGATTAAGTCTATTATAAATTTCGAATGTTTAATAACGGCTGAAGCAATCGAGTATATATTAGACTTAATCGATAGATTGATTTCGAATTATATAATGAAAGTGTCTTTATTTCTGGTCTACGTGATTTGTAAGCAGAAATATAATAATGCAAAGTCTAAGTACGAAAAATTTCTTTTAAGAAAAGTTTCCGTCATCGTCATTATCGTCCACGTACACATAGTAGTATCGTGCTACACGTATTCACACGTATACATCACATGCGCACACATATATCACACGTATACAACACATGCAATAGATGCATGTAGTGGTAGTCTTGTACGACTCTCACGTTTCACAACACATGGCATTAGTGCTCTGCGATCTTGACAGCGTGCGGGATTATGTACCCAATACACGTTGACGTGCGGGGTTATATATTTAATTTGATTTCTTGACATGTATGTACACTGACCGGCAGGAATGGTGTCCGACGTCAGAAATGTACGACGGAGGGAACGAGACACCGATAGACAAGCGCGACCCGCGGTGTCCGTATGTCTGTATAGCTGTCTCACTCGCACTCCTTCAATTCATAGTCTGTGTACACCGACCGGCAGGAATGGTGTCCGGCGTCAGATTTCAGATGTATGTATACGTGTATAACTGTCGAAAATCATATGCACACATACGTAGCGCAACATTGTATGTGTCGCTTGAAGCGCGGCGGAGATCAAAGAGCGAAGGAGAAAGTAGTAGGGGGTATTCCGATATTGCATCTCTCAAACATTATATGATCGAGAGAGAAAGCAATACAAGACATGGTGTCATTTAGTGGTGTCCAATAGCTGTCTCACTCACTCGACTATGAATTGAAGAAGTGCGAGTGAGATTATAAGATTAACAATTATATTCTTATGAAAAAATAATAAGATGATTGCGTAACAAGAAAATAGATTATAATAATGTGAAAAAAATATAGTATATCACATATTATATAGTATTACATATCACATGTATTTAGTAAGTATACCATTACATATAAATACATATTTATATTGATATTTGCAACTACTTTCTTGTTACGTTATAATTTTATTTAATTATTTCTTTTATAATAATAATTACTTTTTTGCTACACTATTTCTTCTTTTATAAGTACATAATTATTGATGTAAAATAAGGAAGCGATCTTTACCAATAATAATGATTTATACAGGGTGTC